ATGTACAAAAGTAAAGAACTGACAGCCAGGGTCCTGCGTGCAGGCTCTCTGGCACTCCTCATGGTCCGCTGTGAACAAAGCAGTGTAGTCGGCCCCCAAGAAGTCCACACCGGGGTACACCTTAGGCAGACAAGGCTCTGGCAGACAGAGACAGAGAGTAAATTAGTGTTATCACATATAGCTTATTAACTAATACTCTTCATATTGGTTATAAACTGTTTCTGTGAGCTTACGTAATTCTGGGGTGCAGGCTTTGAGAGAAAACCCAGAGGTGACGCCCTTTAATGGTTTCTGAACTGCAACATTTCCAGAAGTAGTGGTCTTTAAGTAGCAGTAGAAATGCCTGCAGAGATTAATGGGTCTTTTTACTTAAAACCTTTAAAAATCCAACAGACACCAATGATAGTAAAAATAACTAGTAGCCTACCCACAAAACTTACCCAATGAGCAAATAGAGCAGTTTTTAAAGACAATACATAATGTAGGGCTGTGAAAGAGCTAATATAATAATCTGCATGTTTGTTTTTTCATTTACATTGAGTTTAGCATTGAGTTTAGAAAAAAGCTTAAAAAATTAATAAAAAAGTTGGGTTTGAATTATTGGTCAAATTTTCCAGTTCCAGTGATAAAAATTATTTTCACTGTTTTCTGAAAGAGAAGTCAAAATTCTCAGGAAAATATAACTAGTTTATTTCTAATTACTTGTGTACTGCTTGTCATACCTCAAATCTCTTGTCCAGTCAGCGCGTACGAAGGTAAAGAAGAGACAGGAAGGGTGCTGGGTGCAAAGCTGCTGACAGTGGTCAGCATCTGGAGAGTATTCAAATTTGATGTCCGTTCCTGGGAAATCCACATTCTCCAGAAGCTGTGTGTTACAAACTAAAGAAATGTACATAGTTAATACATTCTGCCACACATAAATAGTCAAATTACAATATATATAATGTAGCGTAATTACCTTGACTTAAGGAGAGGCTGCAGAGAGACAGCAGACCAACCAAAATCAAATGTGTTTCCATCTTCTCAGTTTGGAAACCAATACAGATTCTTGAAGCACAACTGCAGTGAAACAGCTGTTTCTGCAACTGCAGTAATCATCCAAGTTGCAAATGAACTAAAGGCTGTTCACGAACTATGAACCTTTAAGTCTATTAGCCTTTTCAAAGTCCAGATCACTATCGAATGTAACAAGAGTTCTGTTTACTTTTCCTCAGTTGACCTTATCCTTACTTTTTTTTTTTACAATTTACAGTAAATGTGATTTTGCTGTTTTATAATTAGTATGCTTTTTTTTGTTATGGCATGCAGAACCCTGCCACGTGTTATGCTTAAGCAGCAAGTTTTAAAATGTGTTTTATGTTTGTTTCCATATAACTGCAGTGAAATAGTTTGTTTTGCAACTGTACTTTGGCCAAAGGGTTGTTTAGTAGGCTAATCATCAAAGTTGCACATCATTGATTTTAAAGTCAGTCTTTTATAAAATGTTGCCCTGAAAGTCTATTAGCTTTTTTTATATTGTGAAGACTAACTAATGGCGCGTTTCCACTACAGCGCGCAGCCCGGTTTAAGAGGGCTGTGACGTCAGCGGCCCGTTTGTGGTTGCGTTTCCACTTGGCCTAGTACCGGCCGGCTGGTCCTAATTCTCAGTTTTTCTGGCCTCATAAAATCGTGGGGCCAGGGCCAAAGACAACCAGGCTGTGTTTGTGACGTCAACGCTCTCGGCTGCTGATTGGTCGGAGAGAATCGTCACAATCTGCGCGCGAGATAATCCATTTTTACAAACAGCATTTTTGTTAACGGAGGAGCTACAACAATGGCAAAGAAAAGCACACCATGGTCGGTCGAGGAAGTGACGACGTCCATTATATTGCAGATGATAAGGTCCAGCGGGTGCTCGACGGGACAACTCGCAATATCAAAGTCTTTCAGGAGGTCTCTACACAGACACTGGACTCTCCAACGGCGTTACTGGAGTCTGCATGGTACGTTTTTGCTAACGCTGTGTTATTTGCTTGAAAGCTTTGTGTCCCTGCTTTGTGTCCCTGCTTTGTGTCCCTATCTGTTTTAAAGCTCACTTCTAACAAATAAGTCTATTTTATCCTTACATTTATGTTCGACAACCCCGATGGAGCCCCGAAGGCTAGCTAGGCAGATAGCATTAGCGAGAGCTATTGTTTGCTAACACCATATGTGCCATTGTTTACGTTCAGTTTGTCTTTTCTATAGTTGTTGTTGCTATTTATAGTATTGTGCTGCAGTAGTTTGTGGAATTTACAAGTCATGTTTCTGTTCTAGATGATTACATTGGGACTAGCGAGGAGGAACAGTTCCGAACAACGTCCTCTGCATCAACAGCACAAACCGAGGAGGAGACGATCTGGCCCTGCAGGAACGGCAACTGGCCCAGCAGAATCAATGCCATGTCTTATCTTATTGCTTGTTGATAAATAATTGCACCCACCAGCGATCGCACAGAAAGATGGCATCATCTAGGCGTCCCTCTGCAGTCAGAAATATCATAAACACCATCGTCCACAAAGCACTGTACAGGGGTTTATGGATTTAAGAGAATACTTATCACAGTGAAACCTTTATCATCTGTTGCAATTAAAGCAAATAAGAGAATAAATACTTGGTTAAATAATACATTTTAACTCTTTAGCAGGACAACTCTGCATACTGTTTGAAATTGAGTTTGCTAGCTTGAGGTCCTCCTCTAAAACATAACATTACATAATGGTATTAAGAATACATGATAAATACATGTAGAAAAATTACTCAATTGTAATACCCTCGTTGTGCTAGACTCAAACACATTGCTTATATATTTCAAAGAGAAGAGAACAAAAGAAAACACCTATACAAAGAGAGCGGTGCACAGCGCTTAATATTTACTTGCACTATATTTCTGTTGATCTGGGTTATTGTGTTGCACTGTTGGAGGAGCCTGTGACCTAAGATGTTCATTGTCATAACTACACTAGCTATGTTCGTATGACAAAATAAAAAACCTTGAACCTTGAGGCTGTGTCTTTCAGACAAACCATCATAATCATATTATTTTATGCTGTGGATACTTTAGCCTCCATCCATGTTAACAATTTTTTACACTTGCATTTATGAATATAGTTCTGTTGTGTTTTACACTTTTGTATTTATGTTTATAGTTTGCTTTGATATTTGCTTAATTTATTAGATTATTATTATGGGGGCAGTACTGGTGCTTGAAATTCAAATATTTACTAAATAGTCAATTCTGATAACATTTTTTTGGTTTAAATAATTTGACAAACACATGTATGTGAAAAAGAAAAGATGTATTTATGTTCAATACAATACAATGAATATTTAGGTATTACACGTAGGTTTTCCTCAGGCATCCTGAAGTTCTCCACCCACTGAGTGTGTGAAAGATGGAACAATCACATTCCACCACTCGGTAGCTCGGTCGGTAACTTCTGAAATACACAAACAAGAGCATACATATTTTAATACGTAAAAGTGGTAGCTACAATTAATTAAATACTTGAAATACTTTGGTCGTATAGGGAGAGTGAGCCTAAACACATTGCTAGTTAGCGAACGTTAGCTTACCAAGTAGCATTGTAGTTAGTAGTGATTCGAGTCGTCCTGTAGTCTCTGCGGCGTAGGAGGACTGCCCGAACTCTCGCGTCAGCTTCTTCTATACCTCGTCTTGCTATACGTCGCCTCTTTCGAAACAACTCTTGTCTATTTCTTGTGATAATAAACCACACAGCAAAAAACAAGCAAACGATCGCTTTCACATCTCCATTGTTGTGTCGCATTGAAGATGACGTCACGGCAGTTTTAAGCAGCGTCGCTCCGCCTACACTGTTACTATAGATACTGACCCGGTTCCTAAACTGTAATGGAAACGCGCCACAAAGTGAGCTGGTCCTAACGAGGCCGGGCGCGGCCAAAGGAGGCCGAGCGGGGCCGAGCGAGGCTGTGTAGTGGAAACGCGGCATAAAAGCCTCACAACAGATATCACACCTTAATGACATCCTTTCTGTCACTGTTTAACACCACACACACAAACAGACACTTAAACACACTTTATTTTACTGGACTGAGTGCAAGCAATCTGGTCAAATTTGTAATTGTAAAGTTTTAACCCGGTTCTTGTCAGTGTCTTGCAGCTCACCTTCTTCCCGCCAAAGGCCTGAGCTGCTGAATCGCACCTGTCTATGTAGATCTGTGGCTGATTGGACTGTGCCATTTCCTTAAAACCCAAGGGGTGTTCACAGAGCTTCTTCATCCAAGCTACCACTTCTTTAGAGCAATGTCTTTGAATCAACTATGGACTGGGTTATACATTCCTGCAGTTGGGACAAATAGGCAGTGGCTCTTGGTCAGAGGTCAAACATTGTTTAAAGATTCTGTGTACATTAATGTATGCTTTTGGTTCATTGATTGAACTCAGCAACATGTAACATTGCCGAGTTCACAATATGTAAATGTTTACTTTTGCTCAGTTGACCTAAAAAGATTAAAAAGGACTTTGAGCATAGCCAAAGACAAACTATGTTATTATTGGGTGCCCACATTTAAAACCAATACTTTGACCTCAGTATATCGTCAACATTTTTCTAAAAACTAAAAACGCCATAAAAAGCAATAGGAGTCTATCGATGTTTTTAAATGAAAACATTGAAGGTTCATAATCTTTTTACAGTGTGTTGCCACCTCGGGACATAGCCTACAGGGAAAGACAGAAACTCTGCAGGGTCAGGCAGCTAAATGCAAAGCCAAGTCAAAGGACTGTAAAAGCAGCAGTTGTTTATTTGGGTTTAGCACCATCTGCTGTCAAACCTTCAAACTTCCAGTGAGACACTAGATTTAATATGGTCAAATATCTTTGTGTAGAAACATACTATAGCTCCCCGAGACACAGACCTCTGTAAAACATATTCCAGTCAAACATGGGCATCAAGTTGGATCCGTGTAAACTGACCTTGAATGAATAATAAAAGCACAGAAACTTTCAACAATCAATTTTTTATTGTTTTCGTTATAAGCACAACAACAGTATCCACAGTTTAAGTCAAGCACATTATGTAAAGGAATAACAACAGTAGGAGCAATGCACATTTCCTAAAAATGCAGCCAGCTAGATAAGTGCAAGGCAAGGAGTGGTGACAAATCTCAGTCTCAAATGTCTTTCAGGAGGTCCTGTCCTGGGCTCTCCAGCCAGGTCGGAGGCCAGGAGGTTTTGATGCTGGATCTGTCCTTCAGAGAGTTATAGTAAGCTGCCAGTTTAGGGTAACGCTCTTCACAAAACCTAAAGAAGGAATACAAGATGGTGTTAACTTCAAATTACAGATGTTTTCTCTTTGTATGGTATACTTGGTTATCCATGCATTCATATTGTCAAGCAGTTTTAAGTCATTTTCAGTGATTTAATGCACATACCCAAAGCGGTAGAGATAAGCGACGCTTGGAAAAACCATCACATCCGCCAGTGAAAAGTTATTTCCTGCCACAAAAGGGCCTGATGCCTAGAAAACAAATTAAAAAAGGAGTTAGGGAAAGATTCATGTGCTGAAGGGCAGATCTGAAACTGATACTCATGAAAGCTGCCAAAAAGGGCTACCTATTTGATCCAATTACCCTTAGCTTCATAGCATAGAGAATTGTAGCCTAACAACAACAAACAGCTAGCCTGGCTCTATCCACAGGCCCCTAAATGTAACAACCAGCATCTCTAAAGCTTAGCTATTAGCATGTATAATCAGTAAAGTTATAGCAAGAAGATGTAGGGTTACTGGTGGGTGCTTGACTATTAATTCGCGAGAAGCAGTGACTTCCTGGTTGCCTGTCTATTTAGTTATTTAATGGATTTTTGTTTACAGAATATTGAAACTACTCTAATGTCAAGATACTATGAAGCTGGATCCAGTTAGCTTAGCTTAACTGGAACAGCTAGCACAGGGTTGCCAACTCTCACGCATCTGGCGTGTGACACACGCTTTCACTCTCAATCTCACGCTCTCACGCTGCCCAAACTATTCTCACGCCAAAAACAAGAATACCGAAGACTAGAAACGGTTTTGAAAACTTTTGTCACGTAGTGATCGTCTTCTCAATAGAACATCTTTGATAATGTCTTCTGGCCAATCAGAATCACGATAACGGCGTGGTGTTGTTGCAGGAAGTCCCGACGGAGAATACTTTTGCTGTAGTACATCTCTATATACATCGATACAACATTACGTGTTGATAGAAATCAACACGTAATGAAATAAGACCCCACGGTTTGATGATTGATAGGTGTGTGGGCTGTCTTTCATTTTGACACACAGAACAATGGGGGCTATCCACCCTTATCCACAATGTAAAGTAATTCACACAGCCTCTTCCCTCTTCTCTCTGTGAGGAGCAGCAGGTTCAGCTTTCAGAACAAAGTCACAAAAAACTAAAATGGCATTCATTTTTTTAAATATGTCGTGTAGTAATAGATTTATTTATTTTTCTTCTCAAGAGAGTACCAGAATGTGTATTTTATGTTAGTATTTCAAAAAATCTCCTGGGGGAGAATCCCCCCAGACCCCCCCCCCCCCTGCAGGGGTTGGGTTTTCAGCATGTCAACTCTTTCACTTGTGGGGAAATTGCAGGATTGGCTCCAGGTCGCCCTTTTTATTTACTACAAGACAAATGTGCCTTTTTATTTCATACAGTTCAATTCGGATTGAGACAGGGAAATAATCTAAACCTCACGCGTGGCGTTTCACTGTCGGGGGGAGCGTGTATGTAATTACATTGCAAATACTGACTTGAGCCCCACCACTGTATGGGTTAGCCCTAACATAGATTACCCAACAAAAATACTCTGGAGCCGCAACTGCCGACCCGTATTGCGCATGCGCAGATCTAAGATCCAGTAGAAATGATAAAAAAGTCAAAGTCTGCTGCTTATTGTTCTACTAGGCCAAAATAGAGTCAAAGAGTATATGAGAGTGAGAGTGTGTTAATTAATATATTTGGCAGTTTGGAGTAAGTCTTGAAGTAAGAAGATATGATTCTACACTGTATTGAAGTAAACATGTATTGTTTGAACTGTTGTATGTATAATCACTTAGAAAAAGAATGTTATTCTCACTTTTAAATTCACTGACTTAGAGATTCTGTGTTTCACACACCAACATTGATCCTTATCACCACTAAGAGCCAGATGCTGTTTCTAAGTCGTTAAAGACATCGTAAAATAGGAAAAGATCCCCTGGAAAAGGTAGGGAGGGGAGATCGGGACGGAGATAAGAATTGACTTTTGACCTAGTGTGGTTTGGGGTCTCACTCTGTTCGAAACTCTGATTGACCTCGGCCAGAAGCGAATCCAGCCAATCAGGACACTTGGGGGAGGTTAGCAGTCTAAACAGCTCCTCCCCAGGCGTTCTCTGGTTCGCTTGGGAGAAAAGTGGGAAGGAAGAATCGACAAATCTCCGCCCCAAAAGTAGATAGAAATACTGTTGTTTGTGTGTGTAAAAATGCCTTTTGGGTTTGGTGAGTTTGTTGGTTCCGATATCTGTGTCCGCATCGAATCACAAACTTGAAGTCCAATTTCTTCTCGTTTGATGAGTTTGTCTGGTCCCGATGCATTTATCCGCATCGCATCACAAATCTAAAAGTCCGGGGTACTCGAGTACTCTGTATAACTTGTATATGTGTTTGGTTTCCTACTAGAAGTAAACTCAGATAATTTGTTATAACTTTGATTCCGGTGTTTTCAATTCCTTTCTTAATTTAATAGAGATCCAGCCTCATCCAACGAACGGCGCGTAGCAGAGGTATTCTACTCCTACAAGTGGTGACTCCCGACGTTTGTGAGCTGATCTCTAGAAAGGAACACCGATAGCCAGGGGACAGAATCCAGTCCAGGGGGAGGACACAGAGATACTGTTGACAACTACACCAAGGCGCCATATACAAAAGGTGAGCAGACACCTGTTTTGATTATCAAAAATCTGTGATTGATTATACTAAAAAATTTAGAGTTGTCAGCAGCGTTCTCAGTGTTTTTAGTCACGGTGGGAAATACAATACATATTCTAGTTAAATTAGATTATTAGTGCTTAGAGAAGGGTATTCAGTCCTGGATCTAGAGCAAAAATAGTGTTTGAGTGTGGCGGGTAGATCCCAGCCCTTCACTCACTAAATACGAAGGCTGCAAGGCTAGAAAAAGAGGGTTAAATTCCCCGCAGATCATGATAAGATTGATTAATGCGGTTACCTTGCAAGCGCTTTTATTAAAGACTACAAAAGGCGTAAAAAAGGGTTGCATTCCCCGCAGGTCATGATCAGATTGATTAATGCGGTTACCTTTCGTGGTGCTTTAAATGTATAAAATGTCTGTAATTGTTATATGGTGGGTGATAGAGGAGGAGAGAGACGCGACCTCCAACTAATTATTTGGAACGACCGTATCTCATCACAAAACTGTTGTGGGGATAATCAGGCTCATTAAACGTGACGATAAAGAGATTTTGTTGACTGAGTTTTTAACTCTTGACCTGAAGTCGCAATCACCGTGAGGAGATTGTAGAAGCCTACTTCTGGAAGTCACGCTATCTGTTGAAATAAACATCGCACAATAAAAATTTGCCTGAATGTGATATGATAAGGTATGAGAAGCTCTGTGTGATTTTTTTAAAGTCAAATCTGTGTAATACTTGAGAGACAGAGAGCAACGAGAAGGTGGTATAATGTCTGAGACCCTACCTCCACCCTAAGGAGATAAGGGCTCACAAATGCCACTTATGAGTATCCCATCTAATACTCCTAAAGGAAAACACATTGTTAGACCTGATATTCAGGGATAAGGAATGTTGGAAATAGTAATGGAAGATATTGAAAATCTTAAACTGGATCAACCAACCATGTTAGTGAACCCTGCTAATATGGAGCTAATACATGTAGAAAGACTAGCAGCAGCTCTGGCAAAGACAATAGGTCCTAGCATGCAAGCACAGAGCGGTAATATGATAAGGGCTATTGAACTGACCCTTTTTGGAAATGGGATTTTCCGTTACATAACGGAAGACTCGATTCAGGCCTTAAAGAACGCTTTACAAACAAGTCAGGGAGTGTTAAATGTGGAGCTATGTTGCTCAAAAGGGAACTTACACTTTTGGGAAGAGATCTCACACTTTCTCTGTCGTGAGGTGCTGCTGACTCAAAGCAGCATACAGGGTCAAAGACAGGCGTGACCTCTGGAGAGGAAGAAAATCTAAAATCTGAACAGACCACAGAGCCCATTAAAAGGTTTTATGGCCTCTACACTGAGAGGAAGATCTGGAGATTGTAAGGAACTCTCCCTGAATATCCACCCCCACACCATTGAGGGGAAGAGTGTTCCTTTCACCAATAAACAAATCATCTCTTAACCAAGTCAGATTTCAAAATAGCCATACCTCAAGTTGTTAAGAAAAGAGGGAGATTCAAAAGGTTATCAATAATTGCCCAGTATATTAAATAAATACAAACAGACACGTATCAATATAAGTCAGATAATGTAGACGAGGTCAATCATGGAAGAAGGCTGACATTTCATGCCTGATATATAAGTAATAGTAATAATAAATATATAGCTGATATTAAATAACTGATGTATAAGGCTCGATATTTCTGAAAATGGGAACACCGTTAACGGCGTTCTATTTCAGTAAAAGGGGGAAAAGGATAGGATATACATCAGACAATATGTATGTGAGATTATTACGTTTTTAGGAGAAATTTATCAATTTAAAATACTAGTTATGGTATTTTTTGTTTTGTTTTATTTGTTGCTTTTAAGAGAAATTGATACATTTAAAATAATCTAGCTTTGGTTATTTTTTGTTTTGTTAGTTTGTTCCTTTTTTGTTTTATTTTTATTTTTGTTCTATTTTTTATTTTTATTTGGATTTTTGATTTTTATTTTTTATTTTTATTTTTTGAGATGATTTCAAAACCATATACAAAAGCAACTTAAGGGCTTGTTATGAGACTTCTCCACACAGGCTGCTGACGTCAAAAGGGGGACCCGAGAAACACAAGGCCAACACAGCAGATTACGTCTGGTTGGAGGGGACCTCCCATGCCGTTCGCCTAGATGGAAAGGGAGACAACTGGTACCACTGGAGCCAGTGTGCGGTCGGGAAAAACACCTGCGAGGACCCTGGACGACATCAGGACAGAGTTGGCCCTCGTCGCGAGGACCCTGGACGACATCAGAACAGATCTGGCTCTCGTCAAGGCAGTCGACCCAGGAGGCGCCATCAGCAGACCGGAGGAGGAGGATCAGGACATCTCTCCAACAGTCGACCCAGGAGGCGCCATCAGCGGGCCGGAGGAGGAGGATCAGGACATCTCTCCAGCATCGACCCGGAAGCCGCCATCAGCGGGCCGGGGGAGGACAATCAGGCCACATCTCTCTAGCAGGCACCCCAGAAGCCGCCGTCAGCGGGCTGGGGGGACGAAGATATGGCAAACCAAGACGGCACAGGGAACTCCATTTCCCGCTGAAACAGGTTGATATAGCCGGTGT